ATCCGCCGAGTGGAGCCGGCCGCCGGGGAAAAGCTTTCTTGTTGACTTACCTGGTTTTTAAAAAACTATCCTCAACTCTCGCTGTTTAAAACAAATGCGCTAAGTTTTTAACGCCACCCAGTCCCCGCGTCAGCTGCTCCTCGCCGTGTCCACGTGGCTGGAGTGTTGAAGGGCCCAGAGACACGGCCTCAGACGGAGCAGCAGCTACGGCCACAGGCGGCCGGAGGCTGTGGCCCGGGCCCACGCGGGGCCAGCGAACGCCAGACCTGGTTTCAGCGTGACCCGGCTCTGCTCCCCCGAGGCCCCGGGGATCAACTCCAACGCCCACAAGGCCCTGCGTGGCCCATGCCCGCCCCTGATTCCAGCCCGGACCCCTTCCCCTCGACTCAGGATGCTCAAAAGTACCGAGCTCGCTCCGCCCTCACGGTCCTCGTGCATCTGTCCCTCCTCCCAGAGGGCATGGACCCCAGACGTCCACATGGCTGCCGCGCTCCCGTCATTGACACCTTGGTCCTTGAAGAGGCCTCCTGACCATCCCGCCTAAGCAAACGCCCGGCGAGTCGTTCCCAGCCCGCCGTCCTCTCTCATAGTCATCCTCACCCCTCCCGCCACCGGTCATCTCGTTTCTGCCCCTCTGCACCCCACCGAGAGCAGGGCCTTTGTCTGTTCCTAGCACCCAGAACATGTTGAGCCTCGATAAGTACCGGCTGATGGGGTTGATCTTGGTCTTAACACACGTTCCAGAATATTCCCCCGCGAAGTGCGTCTCCTTGGTGCTTCCTTGACAGCAGGACTGGAAGCTGCGTCTGAGCCTCTCCCGCAGCCCAGACGAGGAGGGCGGGGAGCCCTGGCTTTGAACTTCCGGCGGGGCAAGGAGGCCTGCGTGGCTCTTACCACGAGCCAGGAAGATGACCAGGCGGTGTCTGACTGATGGTTGAGTCCGAGTTGCTGCGTCTCTCACAGGAGATCCCCTCCAGCCGGGCCAGTCATGGAGGGCTTCCTGGAAGAGCCGGGAACCAGGTGTGGCTTCAAGGACGGTGGGAAAGGACGCTGCAGCGGGAAGAGAGGCAGGACAGAAAGAGCAGAGGATGAGGAGGGACGGGGGTGGACCAGTCTGGGAGACTAAGCGGGGACGTGTTCACCTGGAGAAAGGTCCTGGACCGGTGTCCCAAGGTCGCAGTCACAAAGCACTGTACCAAAACGGTGGCTTGAAACAGCAGACGCATTCTCTCACAGTCTGGAAGCCAGAAGTCTGAAACCCAGGCGTTGGCAGAGCCATGCTTCCTCTGAAGGCTCTGGGGGCGGGTCCTTCCTGCCTCTCCCAGCATCAGGTAGCTGGTGGCTGCCAAGCACTCCAGGCTTATAGACGTGTCCCTCCAGTCCCCGCCCCATCTTCAGCCATGGCACTCAGCCCCTGAGGGGTCTTCCTTCAGCTCTTGCCTACTAGGTGACACCTCCTACAGAAAGGCCACCGGTCTGCCACCGTTCGCTCTTAGAAAGGTGGGGGGCCGAGGACCTTCCATCCACTGCCCCACGGGGGCAGCCCCCAGCTCTTCAGCATCTGCCGCTCCTTCTGGGGCGGGAAGTCACCTTTGTATGCAAACCATGCTCCATTCATCCCCGCTGGTCATGGGCAGCTGCTCATCCTCACCCTCGAGTCGCTGCTGCAGTCTGAGCTTTCAAAGCCATCTGTAAAACTTCCACGCCAGGCATGGAGACTTCTGCGGGCCACATTCTATGCAAGGAGGGTGTCCGTCCCCTCCCCACTGTGAGCTGGTCTCCTTCTTGGGGAAGGGCCCAGCTTTCCCGTCCCGTCTCGCCAAGCCCTCCTGGGGCAAGTGGGATGGTGGGGGGGGGGGCTTCCAGGTGGCTGATCCGGAAGCTTCTGTTCCAGGAACCCCTCCTTAGTGGCCGTCTGTGGGCCAGAGCAGAGCTCGTACTTGTGGTGGCCACAGCGCCGATCAGTCACCTCAGGAAGCAGCTGCTTCATTTTAACCACAGCAGGTGCCCGAGAGGCAGGACAGGAGCCCAAAAATTGGTTGTGAGTCAGAAGCAAACACCCACGCCCCACGCTTCTGCCCAAGGCTCGCTTCAAGTTAGCGAGGATTCACCCTCTCCACCTCAACACACTTGAAAGGAGAGACGCTTTCAGGCGACGTTGAACTGTGGCAAGTTTAGGTCGAGGTTTTAAGGTTCTAGCTTTTCCACACTTATCAATCCTGGTGACTTCCTAAGACTATAAGGAATCATGACCCCCGTTTGGGGCAAGTGGAAAGTGACCAACTGTGGCCAGCCTTTAAAAATCCACCTTGCGGTTCTCTGCTGGGTACAGCGTGCGTGCCCTGGGCTCCCCAGGAGAGTCCGGAGGTCAAGTTCGCATTCCCGCGGTCCCCACAGCGCGGCACAGACAGCGGAGGGCAGGGGTCCGGCCCAGGGCCCCATGAGAGTGGAGTCTTGACTCCTGCTGACGCCTGAGGAACCAGGGAATGGTTCCCCGCGCCCCGCTGTCACCGGGGAGAGTGTGGTGGTGGCACTCGGAGACGGGGTGGTTACTGGCGCTCGGGGCTGGCCTTGCACCGCAGCATCCGTCAGAGCTGATGTCACGGTGTGAAGAGTTCGGGACGGAGAATCGGGAAGGGCACATCCCCAGGGAACAGCAAGAGCGAAGGCCTGGAGGCTCGTGAGGTACATGTTTTTTGGTTTTTTTTTAATAACAGCCTTATTGAGAGAGAACTCATATGCTATACAGCCATCTAAAGCATAGAATCCTGTGGTTTTAGTATATTCACAGACTTGTGCAAAAAATCACATGACCATCCATTTTAGAA